GATCGGCACACCTCTACTATAAACCCATCTTTTAGGAATAATTCTGCTCTGCCAGTGAAACGCTCATAACAACAGAGACGTTTGCAGTGCTGTTTATTAACAATGGGAAAAAAAAAACTGTATTACCCCCCTAAAAACATAAACAAGCTAAGCTTAGCCGGGCAGGTAAAGATGATACTCTAGAGGAAATCCTGCTTCTTAGTGGAGATAAGCTGAGCCTGATTGAACATAATATCCCTGGTGGTCACATGCAGAACTGATCGACCGGTTTGGAGGTGGAGTTGAGGTTGTAGTGCACAGCGATCTCAAAGTACCGTATGTTCATTCTGGTCAGAATAAACAGTTTTGTTATTTTCTCAATCTTAGTGTTAAGTTTGAGTTGAGTTAAAGTGAGATATTCACATATGCATGATTAAAAAAAATACAAGCACATTTTTCCTCATGTTCAGAAGATAAATTGGACCTGAACTTAGAATTACCAAAATCTTTAATTTGCTTTATGCCAGAAAAAAAGAGAGAATGTCAATATGTTTTGACTGATTTTCATACATAAAAATGTCTAAGTTTAGAATAATTCAAGAAATAGATGCATAAAGGGATTAAAGTTAAAGGTTGATTATTTGACTCAAAATGAAAAGTTTTTGTTTTGTGTTTTGGTCCAGATCTCCACCAATACTCCATGTGTAAAGAGGACGGGGTTCTCAATGAGCTCAGCAACCAGGAGGGCAACTCCACTTTAAAAGAAGAGGAACCAGAACCTCTGCAGATAAAACAGGAACCAGAACCTCTGCAGATAAAACAGGAGCAAGAAGAACCAGAACCTCAACAGCTCAAAGAGGAAGAGAAGCAACTCGGCATCAGGCAGGATGAAGAACAGCTTGTGCTGAAACTGGAGACTGATGACACTTTGGTGAATCCTTCTACTGTGCAAAGAATTCAGAAAGAAACAGAACCACAGAGGAACCAACTCATCTCTCATGGTTCTACTGAAGATGAGAATCAGGATCAGGAAGGAAGCAAATCTGAGGACTCAGGAAAAAAGAGAGATGAAAAACTGAAAACACACGAGACAGCTCATCCAGACCAAAAACAATATTCTTGTAAAATCTGTGGTGAAGCCTTTTCTCAAAGCAGTTCCTTGACAACACACGAGAGAACTCATTCAGACAAGAAACCTTTGACATGTTCAACCTGTGGAAAAAGTTTCACAAGCAAATCTCAGTTACTTCGTCACATTATGGTTCACACAGGAGAGAAGCCTTTCTCATGTGTCACCTGTGGAAAAAGTTTCAGAACCAAAGCTGACGTACGTTCTCACATGAGACGTCACACAGGTGAGAAACCTTTCTCATGTGTGACTTGTGGAAGAAACTTCCGATTCAGATCGAACGTACGTAATCATATGAAGATTCACACAGGTGAGAGGCGTTTCTCATGTGTGACTTGTGAAAAAAGTTTCATAACCAAAGCTAAATTACTTGAACACTTGATGATTCACACAGGTGAGAGGCCTTTCTCATGTGAGACTTGTGAAGAAAGTTTCATAACCAAAGTTAAATTAATTCGTCACATGATGATTCATACAGGAGAGAAGCCTTTCTCATGTGTGACCTGTGGAAAAAGTTTCCCATGGAAGTCTCAGTTAGTTGTTCACATAAAGATTCACACAGGAGAGAAGCCTTTCTCATGTACAAGCTGTGAAAAAAGATTTACCAGTAAAGTAAATGTAACTGATCACATGAGGATTCATGCAGGTCAGAAGCCTTTCTTATGTGGGACCTGTGGAAAAAGTTTCGATCGAAAAGCGATTCTAACTTCTCACATGAGAATTCACACAGGTGAGATGCCTTTCAAATGTACAAGCTGTGGGAAAAGGTTCAGAAGCAGAAGTTGTTTATATTGGCACAAGAAGACGCATACAAATGAGAAGCCTTACTCTTGTGGGACCTGTGGAAAAAGGTTCCGTCGAAAAGGTGGTTTAACTGCTCACATGAGGACTCATACAGATAAGAAACCTTTCTCATGTGGGACCTGTGGAAAAAGTTACAAACACAAAAGCACTTTAATTGGTCACATGCATACACATTCAAATAGGAATTATTTCTCATGTGGGACGTGTGGAAAAGTCTTCTGTTATCAGAGAAATTTAACTGATCACATGAAGACTCATACAGGATGAACAGTATAATCTGACACTCCTCTACCAAAACACAATATCTCCCGGTTTGGAAGCAGAGTAATTACAGCTGGGTAACATTTCTGTAATGTAGCAGCTTGGAGAAGAAGAGTTTAAAACAGGACGTTTATCTAAAACGCTAAACTTTCACTTTATTCTGTCAGTTTTGTCTTTTCATTTAAAATGGTTAAATGAGATAGTAAGTCTTATGTAGTTATGCATGCATTTTAATGTTTTTTTTTGTCTAGTGAGATATTAATAGCGTGTTTATCTCTGGAAGTAACAATGGATTTGATTTCTTTCAGATTTAAACTTGTAAAGTTGCTATTGTATGTCTATTCTTTGTACTTATACTTTGTTTTACTTCATTAATTTTGGTTAGTTGATGTTTGGGTACGCCTTTTCAGGTGCTCTGCAACCATTTAGAGAACATGCAAAAGCTTGGTATCTTTATGAAGACAAGCTAAATTTTCTATTTTTGCATTAAAAAATACTTTAAATCTAAGTAGTTTGTCATTATGTTTGTAACACAAAAAATTTGAAAACAATTTGTTATTCTAATATACTTTTTCATCACTTTCCCCTGAGTTTCTGATTCAGGGAGAAAATACTGTTTGTATTATGGCAACAATTCAGATGTTGCTGAATTTTGCTAAGTTATGATTAAACCCGAGATGTTTTCCCTTTTTTGTTAAAACAGCTGCATTGACTTTATTGTTAATTTTACTCTAAACTTAAGTTATTTTTACCCATGTGATTTTCTTTTAGTTTTTTATCTGTAACTCTTTGTTTGAGAAGGTTTTTATTTTTTTAGGATATTGGAAAATGTATTGGTGATATAGATTCAATTTCAGACAGAATTGTGACTTTCAGAATCTTTCTGTATAATTTTTAGATCGTTTTTTTATACTAATGATGGTCTTTGACTTTTTTTAGTCTAGTGAGTGAAAGTTTCTGCTTCTCGAGTCTTTTCTCATAATTTCTCCTAAGCATCTGTTGTTTTTTAAGCCAATATTTTTCCTTTACTTTTCACTCATAGTTGCTTATTTCAGGAGAATCATTCACAAATCAAGGTCTAATCTTTTGTTTTTGTTTTGGTAAAGAAACATTTTTTAAGGAGTAAATGGAAAATAACTTAAAAGCATCAACCAAAATGCATTATGAGAAAAAGACACTTTTCTCTTAACAGAGTTGATTTTAAGAGTCTGGGCCAACACCATGTGATCATGAGCGAATTTATTCCCATAATTACCGATGGTCTCGTTATGCTCCTCCAAAATCTAAAAGAAAATACTTAAGATCTTGTTCCAGGTCCCTGAAAGTCCACCATGCAAAGGTCTTAGTGGTGTTTTGTTTGGATCTTGTCTGATAAAAACCAATGTAGAAGCCTCTAAGCTCTTTGGGACAAATGACTGGGGAACCAACAGGAATGTGAAAAGTCCCACTCGGGTAGAACATGTTGCCCAGCTGGAGTAAACTTTAGTCATGGAGCGTAACCGAAGACCCATAGGAGATGTTCTACTCAGTTTCCACTGGTCAAAGCAGAACGGAGCTCGGCTTTTAATGACCAGTGAAACTCAACCTGTTGGCCTGTGGATGGTCCGCAGACGTGCTGTAGATCTTCACTCCAAGACTTTCAGCCATGGTGGAGCAGAGCTCTTAAATTATTAGTGACAGACCTGCAATGTCTGAAGGGGTTCAAAACACCTGGGCTACCTCTGCAGATGTTGATGCCTAGGAGATTTTCTTCAATGATTTAGAGCGCCATCATGTGGTGAAAACTAAAAAATTATTTCTTTTTTTTTTATCAGCTTTGAGTCCAGTTGCACCATTTTCAGCTTAACTTTTAAACTCCTTTGTGTTTGGTTATGTCTTTCAAGCTCAATTAAATGCAATAAAAGTATTTTTATAATCTGCAGCAATGGGTAACCAGTAGCAACAACCAATCTGCATTTTAAATGTGGGAATTGTGATTTGAACACAACTTTAAATGAACATTGTCACTCCAGACAGCGGGCGGAGAGTTTTGGTACCTTTGGTGGAGCAAATATTTGATTTTAGAACACAGTCTGATATAAATCCTGTCAGATAAAGGATCTACTGTCTGAAACTTTCATCAGTGGCAGACATAGAAATATGCATGACAGATTATGAGAGGGAGTTTATAAAACCTGACTGTCCTGATTTTCAGTCAGTGTCACAAAAGCTCTGCACCTGGAAGGAGCTCTGAGTTAATCTGGACTCCGAGAGACAGAAACATTTCTGAGCAGGTCTGTTTGTTTTATTTCATGTAACTAAATTCTGCTTTTATATTCCTATGTTAAATTCTTGTCTTTAGGCCATTCAACATTACAGCTGGTTTTGCACAGAATGACTAAGTATTTTTGCTTAGAATGCAGACGGATTGGTCTTTCAGGAAGAGAACAAAGGAAACAGCTGTTTGGTTTGAAACTGGAGAAAAACCTTACATACCTTGATGTGTTACTATCTGTAGGAGTTTCCAATTCCGACCAGCAGGGGATGCTATGCTCCAAATTATTCAGCAAGAAAAGATTAATCAGCTGCCTGATATGAAATGAGACGCGTAATATTTATGAAGAATATAAAATGTTTTAAGAATTACAACAGGAGGGAGGAGATAATTATGAATAGAATCAGAACTGGTCATAGTTTTTTGAATGGCACTTTGTTTAAGATGGACAAATGTTACAGGTCCTGGGTGTCAGAACTGCTGTAACAGAGTTGACACAATCTGAAGAGAAAATAAACAAGGAGTCGGCAATGACGACCAGCGCTGTTGTTGACATCCAGATTGTGTTTTTTTTATTCGCTGACTTGTATTGTTCTCAGGATATACTTTGTAGATGGGGCTGTCATTAATCTGTTCTTTGACAATGTACACAGTCTGCTCCCAATATGATCTGAGCTTTCCAGGTCCCAAGGATGCGAACTAACACTCGGTCACCTGGCTCTAAGACAACTCCTCTCACATATCGGTCATAGTGTTTCTTTCCACGAGCACTCGATCGCTGGCTGTTGTTGGTAGCAATGCGATAAACCTCCTTCATCCTCCTTGCCCACTTTTGCACATATCCATGTGGTGTTTCACTGTCCTCCTCTGTGTTGAGTCCAAACATGAGGTCCACAGGCAAGCAGGGGTGCCGTCCAAACATTAAGAAATGTGGTGAAAACCCTGTGGCCTTGTGTTTTGTGCAATTATATGCATGAACAACTTGAGGCAAAAAGTCTTTCCAGTTACTCTTTTCTGTCTCTTCAAGAGTTCTCAGCATTTGTAGCAGGGTGCGGTTAAATCGCTCGGCAGGATTTCCTTGTGGGTGGTATGGTGTAGTACGTGAGTGACTGACACCTGACAGCTGCTGTAGGCCCCTAAACGGTGAGTTTTCAAATTCACGGCCCTGGTCATGATGTAGCCTAGCAGGGTAACCGGAGCGAGGAATAAAATCACTTTATAGTTTCTCCGCAGCAGTTTTGGCTGACTTGTTTCTGGTTGGCCACGCCTGAGCGAAATGCGTAAAGTGGTCAACTGCGACAAGTATATATTCGCAACCACCTCTGCTCTTTTCTAAATGCATAAAGTCAATGGATACTAGCTCCATGGGTGCACTGGAACTGTTACTTCCCACGGGTGCCCTAACATGTGTGGTGGGTTTCTTTTGTTTTATACAGGGACATTGTCTTGTCACATAAGCCTCGATGTCCTTCTTTATAAAGGGCCAGTAAAAGCGATCTCAGGCTAGGTTGATAACTCTTTCAGGACTGAAGTGACCCATGTCCTTATGAAGGTGTTTTAGCACCAAGGACCTGTACTCTGCAGGCAGTACAAGCTGCTTTATACCCCCAGTTTCCCTGTAAAGTAGCTCATTCTCCACTTTGCTTCCCCCACTCATGCATTAACCTCCTCACTAACCCATCTGCATTTTGTCTGTCTCTGTCAGCTAGTGTGGGTTTTGTCTCTTAAACGGAGAAGTTCTTATTGTTGTGTCCTGTCTTTGTGCTCTCACTAGCTCCTCGTGGCTAATGCTAGGTAAGGCTGGTGTGTCTGACCTAGTGTCTTCAGCCAGATTTAAAGCAGCTACATAGGCAACATCACTTTTCTTTGCTGCCTAGCTTCCTTCCCATGTTGCACAAACAATGTCTCGGCTAAGTTCCTCTGTACACTCCCCGTAAGGAAGCGGCTCTCGCTCCTGACACCAGGTGGCAGCGGCAGACCATCCTGACACCAGGTGGCAGCGGCAGACCATCCTGACGCCAGGTGGAAGCGGCAGACTATCCTGACACCAGGTGGCAGCGGCAGACCATCCTGACACCAGGTGGCAGCGGCAGACCATCCTGACACCAGGTGGCAGCGGCAGACCATCCTGACACCAGGTGGAAGCGGCAAACCATCTTGACGCGAGGTGGAAGCGTCTGTCGCTCCTGATACGAGGTGGAAGCAGCTGCAGTTTGACAGCAGAAATCATCATCATGAAGTGTCGATGTTTGTCAGCTTCCTCTTTTTATGACTGACTGCCAATCATTTACCAGTATTTAATATTGACAATGTTTGTATCAATTCTGTGATTTAAATATTTAATTTCTAACTGGCATCTTTTACAGAAATGTATTATTTTGTCTTGTTTATGAGCAGTTAATGCCTATTTAATTTCCATTAAATCTGAAGAATTATTAATGGTTGATTTCTTTTTTACTTGAGTGATTTTTACAGCTTGTCCATCCAGTTCATTCAGTCAGTGGATTAGAAATGACATCCTGTGTATTTGTACATGTTTCCCTGTTTTCAGCTCTAATAATTTAATTAATAATAATCTAATAATCTTTCAGGAGTTTTTGTGGTGAATCAAACACGATGCTGCCAGACTTTTAAAAATGAAGAAAAATTCCCCAGATTTGCTGCAATACCATGGTTTATATGGGTGCTGCTGCTGCTGCACATCATTTATGATAATCAGTATCAGTGTGAATAAAATAACCCACAGAAATCTGATTGATTTTACTTGATGGTAAAATCAAACATCAGCGCAATAAAATTTGATATTTTAATAGTTTGATTAAACTATTAAACTATTTGATTATTATGCATTAATATTAGAGTATTATTCATTAATACTCTGAGTTCTGAGTATTAATGTATAAATAATTACAAATATTTATCAAAATTATAATCAAAGCGTCACAACCTTTAAGTTATTTGTTTTTCGGATTTCTTTTTGTTGTCAAAAAATAACTAAAAATCTAAGTTAAACTTGCACGGATTTACACAAAGAATATATTGAACGTTAGCGCCCTCTGGCGATCGATTATGGAATCACACGAATTTGAAATAAAATTTGAAATCGCCTTATTTTTATAAATACAGGGTGCTTGAGTTTTCTTTATTCTTGTGCAATGACCATCTTTGACCATTTTATATTTTTCATCTGACTGCATGGCCACTTTGTCTTCAGGGGCAGTAGTAAAGTGATGCTCATATAGAAAATTTAACATTTTCTAGTCAGAATATGAAACAAATATGAAGCAGCAGTGGTTATCTTTTTCTCATAAAACATTCAAGAGATATTTTTCACTTAAATTTAAATATCTTTATCTGTAACAGACTGAGTTGTTGCAACACCAGAACCAAAAATAACTCACAATCACATCTCTTTACACCCACTTCATTTATTCACTGTTTTTTGTCTTTTATATGCTTGAAATAGTACCTTGTTACCAAAACTGAAACAAAACTTTCCTCCAAACAAGAAAAAATTGAAACAATCAAAAGAATTTCACAGCTTTAGAGTGAAAATTGGCCAGAAAAATAATTTAAGTTTTTTCTTCATCTTCTTTTACACAAAGCTTATCGTAATGTTGACAGTTTGTGCCCAGGAAAGTAAATA